CTGGGCTCCATTTCCCACTTATGTACAAACGGACATAATTCAGTTACCCTGAGAAGGCTGACTGCAGTGTAGGACCTCCTAATACAGGATATCATTGTTAGTCTGTGACTGAACAGTACTCTTAATTAACCAGCTGTAAAAACTACTGTTGATCATGTGCTGTGAAGTGTTGATCTCTTGTGCGTGAGGCTGGTTTTATGGAAATAGGATTTTAAATGTTTATATCACAGAATCACAGAGCGTTAGGGATTGGAAGGGACCTCCAAAGCTCATCCAGTCCAATCCCCCTGCCGGAGCAGGAACACCCAGATGAGGAAGCTCATCCAGTCCAATGCCCCTGCCGGAGCAGGAACACCCAGATGAGGTTACACAGGAAGGCGTCCAGGCGGGTTTTGAATGTCTGCAGAGAAGGAGACTCCACAACCTCTCTGGGCAGCCTGGGCCAGGGCTCTGTCACCCTCACTGAGAAGAAGTTTCTTCTCCAATTGAAGTGGAACCTCCTGTGTTCCAGTTTGTGTCCGTTACCCCTTGTCTTATCATTGTTTGTCACCAAGAAGAGCCTGGCTCCATCCTCGTGACACTCACCCTTTAAATATTTATAAACATGAATGAGGTCTCCCCTCAGTCTCCTCTTCTGCAAACTAAAGAGCCCCAGCTCCCTCAGCCGCTCCTCATAAGGGAGATGCTCCACTCCCCTGATCATCTTTGTAGCCCTACGCTGGACTCTCTCCAGCAGTTCCTGTCCTTCTTGAACTGAGGGGCCCAGAACTGGACGCAGTATTCCAGATGCGGTCTCAATATATGGTGAAGTTTAGAAAGAGGTAGAGTTTTCAAATATAGCTCATGATCCTGAAAAATTTTTCTTTCTCTGATGCACATCTGAAGCCTGACTTCACCTGAGTCTTGTTCTCCTTGCCTCCTTTCTGAAGGACGATGTTCCCACAGCCAGAGATCTGATGTTGCGGTACGGAACTAACAAGAAAACCACCAAGCGCAAGAAGAAACTGGAAAAAGCGATGAAGGTGCTCAAGGTGAGGAGAGTGGCATCCAGCTTGGCAGCATTTTAGCTCAAGTTTTCAAGTGCAGAAATCTTCTTGTTGCCTCTGTCATCTTAGCTGGCTTTTGTCACCTCTTCTAGGTAAAGGCCCTCAAGTGTTCTAGCATCAGTTGGCTGGGAATATGAAGTGTTTGCCTGGAAGAGAGTTGTTTGAAATGGACTTAAGTTTTAAAACAAATCTGAAGGGTGGATTAGTTCTGCTCTGGGTATCCTTTGTGTGGGCCCCTGGAGTATGTAGTTTCTTGATAAGTAGCTTTTTTCATGCAGATCCTGTTGCTTCTTAGGTCAGGTGGCTGAAAGCCCTATGCAGTTGAAAAAGATGATGGATTCCCTGTTAAAGTACCTCTTTTTTAGGTGAAAAATGGCAAATAGCTTTTAACAGCAGCCTCAAGCTGAAGTAGATGGAGCTTTTTCAGGGAGAGAATAAAGGTCTCTTTTACTCTTCTTGCCATGCAGAAACAAAAGAAGAAGAGCAAGCCAGAGGTGTTCAACTTCTCTGCTATTCACTTGATTCATGATCCCCAAGGTAATCATGCATTGTATTTTGTCCTTCTTTCATGTGTTAATCCCAGACACTGAATTTTAGATACAACTCTGTAAGGAGAGCAAAAGCATCCTAGAGTTCCACAGCATTTAAAGCAATGAGATCAATCTTCTTGTGGTTGTCATAGGGGAACACTTGTAGATCATCAGACAAAGGAGGAGTGATATTAAGTCATCTGCTTCAGGTTGTTACAGATAAGCATGTGGCTCTTGACCTCTTCCTTGTGTGTGTAAAGGCCACAACTTGTGTGACCAGGGAGTGGGGTATCCACGCTAGCTTTGGCTTATCCCACTTCAGAAATGTATTGCTGTTACTAGTCTGGTATTTGTCTGATATCGCTCGACTTGTCCTCAGTCCCATCTTAGTGAACCTCTGAGGATTTTGTTTTTCCGATAGACTAAAAAATGTATCTTAAAAAATCTAGCTTTAAATACTGACCCTGTGTATGTGATGTTGTGGAACTTGTGGAAGCTTTCCTTTCTGGTGAACCTGTGCATAGCTTTAGATCTTCTGGGCACTGGAGAAGGAAAACAACCAGTCAGGAGGGGTGCTCTGGCCACCTTTAATTTCTTCTATGCAAGGACATTGGGGCTTAAAAAAAAACCCATATGAAGATGACTGCCTTTTTTAACCCCATCCCAGCTGAGCTGTGCATAGTGCCCTTTGAGTCTACCACAAACCTATTATTGCTTCTTACAGACTTTGCAGAGAAGCTGCTGAAGCAGCTGGAGAGCTGTAAGGAGCGATTTGAAGTGAAGATGATGCTCATGGACCTTATATCTAGGCTGGTTGGAATACATGAGGTATGTACTCTCTTAATGCTTTGACAATCTAATCGCAGCCAGCCTTGTTAAGGTGGTGGTGTGCTCTGGCCTTGTGCCTCTGGAAAGTGACTTAATTTTGCTGTATGTTGAAAAATGAAGATGTATGGTTGCCAGTGGGCCTCATGGAGTGGTGCAGCAGCATAGACTTGTGTGGTGCTGAGTAATCTCTGCTAGAGCTCAAGACAAGAGGTGTATCATAAAATAAAATCCAAGGCACCTGGGGAGCAAGCTGTGTAGGCTTGTTCACTGTTTTACAGCACATCAGCCTGTGAGGGTGATCTCAAGTTAAAAGACATGGAGCTAATCTGTGACACCTTCCTTCTTTCTGCAGCTTTTTCTTTTTAACTTCTACCCCTTTGTTCAGAGATTCCTACAGCCTCACCAGAGAGGTAAGTAGCTACTAGTAGGTAATGCTGCTGGTCCATGATGTCGTGAGCATGGTCAGTTCTTAGAAGTGGTGCTGTAAATGCATTGGTAGCAGTAGCTTGGTAGGCAGTAAGAGCAATCCAGTGGGTGTGGATGAAGGAAGTGAAAGGTCCTGACTGCCAGAAGCGCAGAGCCCTTTGGACTCTTACAGAAGCTGTGTGCACTCAGTGCTCCTTACTTGAGCATTTGAGAAGGTCCAGCAATGGAATAAAATGTATTTACTGAGTCCTTCATTCCAGAGCAAATCCTGACTAGTTGACTGAAGTGTGACTGCCTTTTCCTTCTTTGTTTTACTGGTGTTTCTAGCTGTAGAGCATTTCTTTTTGACTTAGCTGGCTCCTAAGGACCTGCACTGCTGCTGGGCTGGAGGCCAGATGAGTTTCCTAATGCTTGGTGAGAGAGGAGAAATAATTGTCTCAAATAACTTTAAACTGAACTGGCTTTGAGACTAAGACTGAGCAACTTGTTGTTAGCTGTTTTGGTGGGTGCAATTATTGGCCAGCATAAGCTGCAGCAATGTACTCTGATGTTGTCTTTGCACTCTTCTATTTCTTCCAGAAGTGACAAAGATTCTTCTGTTTGCTGCACAAGCTTCACACCAGCTAGTACCACCGGAGGTCAGTACTCCACCTAGGTTTGGTGGTGGTAAAAATGGACAGTGGGCCAGCGTGGAAATGTAACTGAGTGCATTTGTGGGGAGGGGGAAAAGAGAATCTGGTCAGGCTTTGTCTTCAAAAACTTATGGTAATTTTGGCTACTTCTGCAAGTTCCAAGGGATTGTTTTGTATAAAGAGAAACAGCCCCTATGTCCAGGGACTTCACTTCTGCATGAGGATTTGTCTAGAAAATAACTGCAGGCTAGAGTGACAAGTCCTGAGCTCTGCCCTTCTGTGAAAAGGGCTCTGTTGTCTGTTTAACAATCCAATTTAATAGCTTTCACAATTCTATTAAATATGCAGTAAGCTTATGTAACTTTTTTTTTCTTATTTTCAGATTATCCAGTCAGTGTTAATGACAATTGCCAACAACTTTGTCACTGACAAGAATTCTGGGGAGGTCATGACTGTAGGGTGGGTACAGAATCTCACAGAAACTGTAAAACTCTCTCTGAATATGGAAAAAATAAATTAAACCATGTGCACTGTACTTCTGTGATTTGTACTATGCTTTCAAGACCCTGCTTGATTGAGGACAAGTTAGGACACTATTTCAACATTAGCTTTCCTTATGTTTGTTGGCAGTGTTTTAAATTCCCCAGACCAATGGGTTTCTGTACATAGTCATTGCTGGGACTGGAGCTCTTCTGGATTTCATGATGGTGCCTTTTTTTGCTTTCTCCTTTGCTCTTATTTTTTTTCACTTCCCAGATATTGTTTTGATGTTGAGGGCAGACCTCTTGTCTGAATTAAAATACTCTGTGTATATTTAGTGAGTGAATAGCATCACAATTCAGGAGTCTTTAATTTTCATGTTTAGTAATGAAATTTCACTACTGACAACAAATTTAAATGTTGCTGTTGGTGAAACTGATGTGATTTGAGTCGAGAGATATTTGGGAAATGCTGTATAAGGTACTTGAAGTTCCAGATAACTCAGTCTTTTACTGGGCCAGTGGAAGTCTGGTGGTGCTGAGGAAATGTTTCACTTTCAATTTTTTAGAATCAATGCAATAAAAGAAATCACTGCACGATGTCCGTTAGCCATGACCGAAGATCTGCTCCAAGACCTCGTTCAGTACAAGACTCATAAAAATAAAAGTAAGTCTATTGCGTGGATATGACCTTTTTCTTCTGGTATGCTCTGGTCCTCCACTGTTATAGTCTTTATAATAATGTCTTATTTTTTTTTATGTGGGCTCAGAGATACCATTTTCATTACGTCCATTGCACTCCTCTGTATTTTGAGTGCGTATGCATACGAGACTAAACAGTCGAGAGGAATTATGGCAGGACAACAGGCTGACAAAACTGAAGAAGGGAACTGCTTGCTAATAAAGATTTGGCCCTAAGAGCTGGATCCTGCATTGGAGAAATCAGTGGGAGCTGTAACTTCAGGAAAGGCACCAGCACGCTGTAAATGCTGATTATCTGAGTGGGCTTTCAGTTTGCTCGGGATTCTGCTTTTCTGTATTTATTCCTGAATCTTTTTGTTTTTTTCTGGGTAGATGTGATGATGTCAGCAAGAACTCTGATACACCTTTTCCGTTCGCTGAATCCAGAGATGCTGCAGAAGAAATTCAGGGTAGGTGTTTTTATGCGCACTGCATCCACCATAAACATGGGCCTGTGTGCTGAAAAATAATGACCAGAACTAGCCTCAGAGCCTCTTGAGAATGAGGTGGAGTCGTGTGAGCCTTCTGCCCCTGCTGCATTTTGACATGGTACTCGCTTGTTTCAAAACTTCCTTGGTTCAGATTTATCAGGCTGACTGACAGAAGGATCATGCTGTAGAAGCTTGACTTCCTTCCTAGAGTTAGGTCAACTTCTCAGTAATTCAAGGTCTTATTTCATCAGGCAGAATTTATTTCTTCCACCTGCATCCTCCTCTTGCCCAGGTTTATTTTTTCATGGGTTTGTGGGCATAAAATAGAAGCCT